TTACTAATCTCAATACAAATTATTAAATAAAGATAAAGGCAAACCTTACCTGCAAGAGATGCCTATAATTTCCCTTTTAAACTAATATTTATTATAGATGTTATTTTATTTTTAAAAATAATGATTCCAAAAATGTTAGCATTATTATAAAAAACAAGTGTTAGCTTATAAGCGTAAGTCTTTTTTTTTTTTTTTACAAAATTTATAGATCATATAATTTTATATGCAGTTCCTTTACTAAATCATTACGCCAAATATTGTATGTGACCGGGAAGTGTGTTAATTAATAATAGAATTGTTCAATATCACTAAAGATAAAAATTCTGTGAAAGAACCGCCACTCAACCCTAGTTGATATTAGCTTTCTCTAAATTACAATTGGTTACATGCTAAAAAATCAAGACCATAGAATAGTGCACCGGTTAAACTACACCATTTATAATAAATTAATATAATTATTGATATTCAGAGAATTCATTTAGCCTCTTCCTCTTTTTAGGACATTGATCCTTATCAGTGTTACCATAGTCCTAATCATAATCTAAATTTGATATTATATGTTAAAAAGATAATATATTAATATAATAACTTATACAATAAAATAATTATTACCATCGGTTGATTCTACGTGCTTTGAAAGATTTAAAAAGGAATAAATCTTGCTATAATGATTATCAATAGAGAAACTGTTTAAATTGAAAGGTGTATCTGAAAAATAAGTTTCCACTGGAAGACTTTTGCCAAAAAGGAATTTTTCTTCTGAAATTCCATTATCTTTGGCTTCAAGAAGCTTTCTTAGCATCGTACACGTTATATAAGCCGTATAACCATCTGGTCTGTTTTGGGATCACTATCCCAATACTTTTGCATTAATGATATATATTCTTGTGGTGAATTGTTAGGCATTGGTGGCCTTAATCCATTAAAAATATCAACCATTAAATTATTATTATTTTCTCTATCACTAAATGGATGTTTTCTAACTAACACTTCCAACATAATAATTCCTAAACTATAGATATCTGATTTTGTAGTATGTGGTTTTCTATTTAATACTTCAGGTACAATATAAGTAAGATTACCATAAATGCTATTTGAATCTTTTTCTACAGGTCCACAAAATCCTAAATCACTAATTCTCAAAGAATCAAGTTTTTCGTCAATTAAAATATTTCCAGAATGTAAATCCCTATGAACTCTGCCAGATTTATGAATTATAGTAAGTAAAATGATATTCTTAAAATAATATTGTATCGCTGCTCTCAAGTTAGATTTAATGAATCATTTCGCAAATATTTTCGTAAATCACAATCATATATATCCAGAACTAACATAAAATCACCAGTTTCTGGATCTTGTGTCAATCTATAATAAGAAACAAGGTACTTTGCGATTTTATCAATAGTGAAGTGGGATGTGACCTAAACATTAGTAATTATTAATTAATACTAAAAACATAAACATTCAAATTTCAAACATATATTTAAATTATAAATTTTACCTCATTAAACCAACTGCTGTTATGTTGATTGAACTTATCTAACTTTTTCAAAACAACCCATTGCTCACTAATTCTTTGTAATTCTCTTGTTTCTGAATTCCATTTATCATATGAACCTTCTTTCCATATGGCCTTAAAAACGGTCGCAAACCCACCCTTGGCCAAAAACTGAATATCTCTAAAGCTTTCAAATGGTACCCACTCAATAACTTCGTCAGGACATACTGTATTCATTTGAGCATTTTGAATTGCCTTGTCGATTTTAATATTTCCGGAAGACCAGTTTCCGAAATTTTCTTGCAAATAAGTTTTAATACAATGTTCACAATATTGGATAGCATAAATCCAATTTTCACAATTTTCACATTGCCTTGTTTTTCCTATTTTATTAGTTACATTAAAATTGTCGTGATATTTTTGAAGTCTGTTAATTAATTGTAATTTTTCATCTTTGTTAAGTGAATGATTATTTAAAAATTTATCCTTAAGAAAGTCACACTGTTGCTGGACTGTAGGATAGACTTCTAAGTTTAATAATCTCCATGATTTAAAATATAAATTATTCAACTTATCCCTATCCAAATTATTGCTTTCTTTCTTTCTATTATCATGAAGCGTTAATTAACAGATTATTATTGTAAGCACAGATCGGTCAATATCTTAACATTTTATTACCTAATAAATATTTTCTTAGATTTCGAGAACATTGCAAAGGTAAGACTTAACAAATTATGCTTATAAATATTATTTATTTTTCTATAACCCTCGGAAAGACTGTCGCAGGATGCCGTTGGTATGATTATAAATACAGGCCAAAATAATATTGTTTTATATATTCGTTTTACTGTAAACAATAACGACTAATTCGTTTCTTAATCATACAAATAACCAACACAAGACAAACCTATCGAATACTATATGAGGCTCGTCTCACTGTTTCATATTATCAACAGCCCGTGCTATTGCATCGTACTACATATTAGACTTTTCTAGCCAGGCTATCAGCTTCGACCACTTAACATCTGGTCGTCTGATCGGTGTCGAAGCCTTATATTCAATTGTCTACTCGAGATGCCTTAATCTCCTTTACATTTTCCTAAAAGCTTAACCTTCTCATTGGCGAGCGATATGGGTGGGTGTGGCGAGTGATATGGGTGGGTGTGGCGAGTGATATGGGCGGGTGGTAACAAAAAGCTAGTGTTAAGCTTACAACAAAGACAAAAAAGAAGGACTAATTTCCATTACTTCCTTTAATAACCCTTACCTATGACCTCATACTTAACATCACTTATTTTATCAAACTGATATTTATAATACTCATTTCTCATAATCACTTATTTAACATCATGAAGGAGCTTCACTTGCAACAAAGCTTACGATTTTTGATAGTACCCTAAAATAGGGATAGGAATCGATTTATCGACTAAAAAATTTATATGTAAATTACTATGTTTAGTTGATTTAGTCGACTAAATCATATAGCCGATTCCTATCCCTACCCTAAAATAACAAACATGTGATAATCACATGTGCCAAAAACGGATTCGTATTCATCCCAAAATATTGATTCTGATTGGATGTATTAATCGAATGATGTTGTTAACCCAAAATTTCATGTCTGATCTTTGCTTTTTTTGGAAGTCCATTAAGGCCAGGTTCATTTACTTGTATTCTTAATATCTATATATAAATAGTACGTAACCCTTAACTTTAACGTTAACGTTTCCCTTTTTTTTGTTATTGTTTGGTCACGTTTTGTATTTCGATGATAATTGTGATCCGCCATATTTTCTTGTAGATAAAATGGATAGGTCACTATAACAATAACAAAATTTGTATTTTATACTAGTATTAACATATGTATTCCATAGAAAGCCAGGAGGATTTCTAACAATATGTTTTAAGGTATTTTTTATACATCGCACTATGCAATGCGCCAATATATCGCACCCTAACAATCTACCAATTAAATTATGTATCTGCAGTGTAA